ATCATAATTAACTTCAAAAAGTTAATTAAAACATATATTACATGATATAAATATATATACCTGCCGCACATGAACGTTGTCTCCCGGATTCTTTTCCTTCAGCGAGGCCATAATTTTTGCCGGGGCCACCTGAGCGTCCGTCATGTCACGAACAATTTTCTTAGATGAAGCGTTGAGGCCGCTCAACTGGCGATGACCCTCAGGATACACAGCAAATGCATGGTTATGGTAGCCTTTCTCTTCATTGCTACATCTACAGATCCTCCAGTATGGAGCGCCGGACACTTTTTTTACTTTGATCTCAAAATTGCAGCCGCACTTATTCGTTTTTGTCTTCTAGAATTTCCGCCTGTGCCTCTGTACCGTTCGCCTCTATGGCACTTCAAAAGTCTGACCGTTTTCTTTTTGTGGCTCGAAATTATTAATAGGAAACCATTCAGCATTGCCTGGTGTTTTGCAGCTTCAATAGCCTCATGAGCACTATTATATAATGTACAGGTATCGAAACGCAGACTGTAATCAACGCCATCTCCTCCAAAATCTTCCCATGACTCCTGCTATATAGTACAATATTTATATTTTTAGAACATGTTAAATTAAGATAATTAATTCTAGCATGTAACATAATAATTTGTAACTCATAACATGATATTATCTAACGTCCAATTTATATAATTTGTAACTCCTAACACGATCACGATAATATCTAACGTCCAATTTATATTATGATCAATATGTAACATAATAATTTGTAACTCTTAACACGATACTATCTAACGTCAATTTATAACATAACTAAGACTAATATGTAATATAATAATTTCTAACTCGTAACACGATAATATTTAACGTCCAATTTATATTATAATCAACATGTAACATAATAATTTGTAACTCCTAACACGATAAACGTCCAATTTATAGCATAATCAAGTCAAAAATGTAACATAATAATTTATAACATAATAATATAGTCCAATTTATAACATAATTATTTCGAATATATAACATAATAATTTAAAAAAAAAATGTCCTGCCGGCCGAACCGGACGGAGCCGTCCGGCCGGCCGGTTCGGACATGGCCCATCCGACCGGCCGTACTTTTCGGACGGCTTTTAGCCCGTCCGGACCGACCGGCCGGACGGCTTAAAAACCGTCCGGTTCCGGCGGCCTGACACAAAATTTTTCGTACCTCCGAATTTGACGACATTTCACCGTGCACTTTCCTCTGAGATGTTTAGAAAAAATGAGAAGGGCAAAATTGTCCAAGGGGGGCGGTGACTAGTAAAATGGGGGGCGGTAAATAGTACCACCCTTTTTTTTGTTAAAGAACCTTTTTAGGTGTTGAAGCTTTGGACTTTTAGACTTTGTTTTATACACTGTGGGGGGGAGGGGGGGAGGGGTTTGAAAATTTTAGAGCAGATGTCACGTTAACCTCGTCTTAATGATTGCTTCGCCGGAAAAGACTGATTTTTTTGCCAGATGAGGCTGAATCTGCTAAATGTCTAATTTCTTCTTCTTCGTCTTCAACGGGAGGAAAATTGGGCTTTTGGGCAATTTTCTTTAATTTTCTTTTTCATTTTTCTTTTCTTTATTTATTGTTTTATTTGAGATATATAATTATATTTAGGCTCAATATTATGAAGTGAACAATTAAACAACTTTTAAGTAAATTAATTAAAAGTCTACAATGTTATTTTCTTAAATATTTAAGTAAGAGCATTTTAGTATTAATACAACTTTTTTTTTTAAAAAAATTTTTATCTAATTAAATATGCAAAAGGACACATGTCATCAATTAAAGTGGTACCTGTTGTTATATAGGTACGAGGCAAGTACGAGGTGTACCTGACGGTAGAATGACCCATGATACTAATATTGTTACCCGAGTTTTTGTAAAGCTTTAAGGTGTGANCAACTCAATCTAAAAGTGACATTAAATGAAAATTCATTTTATGTTTAAATACTTGTGAACGTACATTGTTGTTCAAAGTGTAATTCTTATACTCCACAAATTCCATAAAATAATGGAATATATACTCATTACCTACATTCTTTGATGGTTACGGAAAGCTCGTAATATTTGGGTCTTTAAGAAGAGTTGGCAGTCGGAGTCCTGGATCATCAAAACAGCCTGCAGAGACTGGAATGACTTCAAGGACAGGAAAATGGATTGAAGATTTGTAGTAGGAAGAAAGAATCTATTTGTAGCAGGAAGAAAGAGTCTAGGTCTAGTGTCAGTGGTCTTTTTCTTCTTGCTCGAGTTGTATTGATCTGTGTTGTTTTCTTCAGTGTATGTAGTTTGCTGAACACTGGGTGGAGAGCTAGCTAGTTGTGGCTTTTTTCATTCATGTTGCTCAATTTGTTATTCGGTTTCGCCTAGGCAATACCTGTGGTGTTTGTCCTCCCAGTGACCCAGGCTTAGGGGTTTCCCTCCGTACTCTATTTCTTGTGTATTTATAAGAGCTTTTCTGCNAAAGATTCTATAGAAAATCACTATTTTTTAACAATCTCCTAACTGGGTTACATATTATTTTCAAAACAAATAAATTAAAACAATTCATATTTGTGCAACTTTATTGTTGAGTTGTAGTCAAGCTCGTCTTGCCGGGCCCGGGATGGCCCCGATTGGTCCCGTACAACTTTTGGTAAGTCCCGACAATACTCGGTAGGTCTCGGACAACACCCTTTCATTCCCGGAACAACATCCTTTTGATTCCGAACTCGTCCCGGTTTGTACGCTTCAAGCTGAAACCCGAAATCAACAATAGATAATCAACTTTCAGCAACCAAAGAGCATAAATAAAATTAAAATGCGGAAAACAAGTAAAAATAAATAGGAACGAATGCATCCTTTCTGTGTTCTTGTACAAGGGCTCGAATGCCACGAAGATGGGTTGAAATTGATCAGGCTCAGTCCCTTTTTTGTCAATCCCTAAAAATGAGTCACCAAATAGCCAACAAAGAAGCGATCAATTGGACTCGTGGCCACAATAACTCCGGCACTGGAAGCCCAGTGGTAACACCACCGGCCGTCGCACAAAGCTCGGCTCGAAAACAACCCACACACAAAAAAAACCCCAAAAATCCTTCTCACCTATTAACTCGACAGACACGAAGGAAACCCCTAACACACACACCATCTCTTTATCACAAAGATACAATAAAATAAGAGAGGATTGGATATATAGTCACTAAGTCAATTGAAGAGGATGAGAGTTAAAGCTACAAAAGAGAGAACAAAGGGTTGTAGCTTTTAAAAATTGGTTGCTTAGGAGGGATAATTAATCTTAGGGCAACCCTCTACAAGAATTGACCAGGTATATAAAGAGAGAATAAACGGTTGAGATCAAGGGGCCTGAGAAGTGATACATATTTGGGGCATCAATAAACATATTCTTTAGACCATTGATACCAACAATCTCCACCTTGGTCCAAATTTCATAAAACAATGGAATAGATAATATTATTGCAGAGTAATATGTTTTTCATAATTAGATTGTATAGAAAATCTCTATTTTTTAACAATCTTCTATCTTTATTATTATTATTATTATTATTATTATTATTATTTAATTCTTGGTGTTTTTCTTTTGTTGGCCGGTACTTTTTATGGAATGTTTTTTTCATATGAGGTAGTTCATTCGCCATAGTTAAGTTAGTTGACTAATTTTTTCTAATAGAAAATCTATAAAATCCTAGCCCAAATCATTAATTTGGGACAAAAGTTTGGCTTTGGGCTCAAATCTTTTAAATTCTTGACCCAATTCAGTATATTTTTAATTTTATACAACATCTTTTTTTTTTTGTTTAATCTTTATTTGTATTTTTATTTTATAATTAATTTGTTGTTGATAAAAAATTATTACTCCCTCCTATTCATAATAAGTGTTGTTTTAAGAAGTTGCACAATAATTAAGGATATTTTTTTGTCAATAATAACCTTCTTTAATGAAGATAGAGAATGATGTTTTGGGAAAAAATGAAGAGTGAATATGAAAAGACGTAGTGTATTTATTAGCTAAATGATGATAATAATGGAAAAATATGTAAAAGATCCAAAATGACATTTATTTGGATATTACTCCCTCCATTTTGAAATATAAGGCGTATAAAGATTTCTCATTTTTTCTGAAATATAAGGCGCGCTCAAAAATCAAGACAAATTTTTGTATTTTTTTCCAAATATACCCTCATTGTGTTGAAATTAAGGAAGTGTGGAGTGGTTGTGATTAGAGTAAATAAGGTTAATTTAGTCAATTTATTCATTAATTAATGTCTCCTTAATATTTGTGCAATAACCTTAAATGCCTTATATTTCAAAATGGAGGGAGTAGTTAATAAAGCCAAAATGACATTTAAAAAGAATAGGAAGTAGTATTTGTATTATGATACCACATCAATTTTTTCCGTTTAAACAAATATAGTTATTTTGATTTTATAATTCACTTTTAATAGTAAGTCAATTACGAATATTACATTCGTTTAAGTCGTTATTAGGTTATATTACAAGATATAATTATTTAAACACCTAAAATCATGAGTGTTGTATGTAAAGAAGTTTACAATATTTTATTTTAAATTCATAATTTTTATGAATTAAATTATAATTTTTACTTTTGTTTATATTTTTGTATTACTTGCTCTTTTAATGTACTAATGCACCAGTTGATTATCAGTTAAATTATTTCATGGGATGAAAGTATTACATGTGTTCTTATTTGTAAATTAGCTTGATAAATTCAATGATAAAATTAATTTAGGGTTATATTGCACTTGTGTAACTCATGTTTGTGTATAATAGTTTTAATTGTAATAATAGTATAATTATGTTTTGAAAACAAAGAACCTAGGCAAATAATTCAAAGCAGTATCGTTCTGCGGCACTCACCGGCGTCAAGGCCCCAAAAGCGGTCCCCCGGATTTCAAAGCCCAACTATACATCATACAGCCCTTCTCTTTTCTAAATCCCACCGTCAACTCCGCCGCACGCCACCGACATGTCCTCTCATCTCACCCCTTCTTCTCCTCAGTCCACGACCACCACCCCTTCCCCGCGCCGCCCAATTACCGGCGATGACAAACTCGCTCCGCCGTTAAAACCAGAGCTCCCATCCGGCCCAACGCCGGCGACTAAATCCGCGGCTTTCTCGAGCCGCGAGGACTGCTGGTCCGAGGAGGCAACTCGAACTCTGATTGATGCCTGGGGATCTCGCTACCTTCAACTCAACCGGGGAAACCTCCGGCAGAATCACTGGCGGGAGGTCGCCGACGCCGTCAACAGGCTCCACGCCTCGTCCGTCAAGCTCCGACGCACCGACGTCCAGTGCAAGAACCGCATCGACACCACGAAGAAGAAGTACAAGATCGAGAAGTCGAGGGTTGTCCAATCGAAGGGCCGGTACGTCTCTTCGTGGGCCCACTACGAGAGCCTCGACTCCCTCATCGGAGATTCCGTCTCCAGTAACAAAGGCATCAGCAGCGCCAACGGACACACCAGAGCCCTTCGCCGGCGAGTTTCCTCGTCTCCGGAACCCTCGCCGTCCCCGACGCCTCCGCCATCGGAGGCGGAGATCCACCGCCGGAAGACTACTCCGGCTATTCATATACCGGAGAAAGATCCGGCCATGAGCCCTTGGCTGAAGCTACCATATTCTGTGCCGGTGGGACCCAGATCAAAGCGTGCAGGGTCGGGAAGCATTACTGAGAGGAATTTCTCGGTGATGGCAGCAGCTGCGGCAGCGATGGAGGCTGAACAGGATGATGATGAGGAAGACAATGATGAGTATGAGGATGAAACATGGGGCCGTTACCTGGAGACCAGAGGAAGGAAAAGGAAGAAGCCCGTGAAAAAGGAGGAGTCAATTGTGGGAGAAGGGTATTGGAAATTGGCAGAAGCAATTGGAAGGTTAGCACACACATATCAAAAGGTCGAGGAGGCAAAGCAGGAGCAGATGGTGGAGCTGGAGAAACAAAGAATGCAGTTTGCAAAGGATTTGGAGATTCAAAGAATGAAGGTCTTCATGGAGTCACAGGTCCAGCTTGAGAAGCTGAATCGTGCGAAACGTAGCCCAGAAAATAGTACGTCGTGAAGACTTTCTCTTTTGGTCTGGTATTATATTAATTGAGCCTTTGCCTGTGTTATTATAAAATTATATGCTTGATTGAGTGATATGTGTGAATACAATGGAATTGGTATTTGGTTGTTGTTCATGTGCTGCTGTTTGTTGAAAGGATGTCCTGGTCTCCAATTTTACATCAACTTATTGACATTTTAACGGGTGTGGAGCAGAATTCTGCCTGCTTGTGATGTTTTAGTTGTTATACTGATACAAAGCTTATGGATGTGTTCAATGAAGCTGAATTTGAATTTAGTTCCTATCTAAATATTTGTTATTCATGTTTGTTGCTGATTTGTGGGAAAAAAATAAATAAAAATAATAATACTGTAGGAAGTGATAACTTCTTGGCTTATTGACTTTTCGTTTGGAAATACTTGGAACATGTGTATTAGTTGTTATACAACAGAATACTGGCTTTTATTACTGTTTGATTGTGTGTCCTATCTATTGTCGCTGAGATGCAGCATATGCTATTTAGCCATATATATTTGGAACAGGTTGATGGCATGCCTACTTATCTTATTATCTGAATACTAAGTTTGATATAGTATCATTTTTTGTGTATAGACTTCTGAAAAAGCACTTGACATGTGATATTATCAATATGATAGCATTCTAGTACTTCCAGTGGTACTTTAAGTTGTTTGTAAGATGTAATTTTGGTTGCGCATGAACGGCATAAATCTGGCTTTTGAAGTCAATACTTATTCTGCCTTGGTATTCGGACATTCCTGCAGCTGCATGATATTTGCTGCATCCTGTTATGTACGAAACATGGTTGCTTTGAGTGGATAACACTTGTCATGAACAAGTTGGATCAGAATTATGGGACAAAAGTATGCCCTACTTCTTATGTGTTTTAGCTGTAGATAAAGTTTGTAGATTATGAAGTAATTGTATGACGTTTCTGATATGACCAAGAAAACTGATTTGAAGTAAGAGAGAATGAAACTTGATTTTCCATGCCTTGGGTCTGTCGTATTGTTATCTTGTCCAATGATAGATGCCTACATACCTCTGAGGCTTAATCAATGACATTAACACAACCCATTTGAAATCTAGTGACATGAGATGGGGGGGATCTCTTTTTAAATTCTATTAAGTTCTGTCTATCAATACATTTTGTGTTATTTTTTAGCCTTTCGAGTGATGAACAATAGTTGGCTTTTATATTTTTCTGCGATAGTTCTAATTAATTATTTTTGGTGTCTCAAAATTATATTCTTTGTTGTAATTTATGCTATCAAGTTTCTAATTGAAGTTGTGAGACAATCTATATATATTATTTGACAATCATCATTTGATACTTAAAGGATTTTTCTTCTGTTTTTTTAATGATAAGATGAGAAGGATTGCAGTATTCATCAAAATGGTGGTCCATGATGTTTGCTAATATGTTACATTGCTAAACTTCAGAAGCATATACTATGACATATCACATTGGTTGATCTTCAGAAGTGTATAAAGTAGCATATAGTATCTCGGATACGCTTAGTCAAGCATCAAGTTGCACTGTGCTCATTACCAGCAGAACTGTAAAAAGGATATATTTAGTTTAAACTCCAGCTTACAGTTATATTGATAATTGATGTATTTTGCTGCCATATCATTTTATTTTTGAGCTATATTCCTTTACATCTAAAGTGTTCTAAGAAGCTGGTTGAATATGCTCTAAGCTTGGTCCTTCGTCAAATAATAGTGAGATGCATTTCCTAATCACGATTGGCTTGAAGATAACTTCAGACGAAATAAATGCTGAAGATAACTTCAGACAAAATAAATGCTAAACTAAGTTCATTTCATGCAAGCTTACCATCATTTAAGTGTGTGTTGATCGAATATATGTTTGTTTTGTGCTTTCTGTTTGTTTCAGAAGTGGGCTCATCTTTCATTATTTATAGATAGTGTTATTTGATAGGGAAGTCATAGTTTGGACTTTCTTCCAGTATTTACAAAACAAATAGTCTGTCATTATAACTGAATCCACTTTTTGCATCCAGCAAAACTTCAATTTCAGCATTGTTTCTCTTTGGTGCTCTTGTTTGCATTCCATACCCTTGTTTTTACCTCCTGCAGATGAACTTGGATTGAAATTTATCAGGTAGGTTTATAAGAGAATTATGTTTTATATGTGCATTAATTTTATCACCAGTCCCTTATTTGAAATTATGAATAACTGTTTGTATGCAGTGTCACTTTTTCCTTAGAGGATTATAACTTTCTGTCTACAATGCTTGAATATAGAGCATATTGTTGATTATACTAACTCTAAATTTCCATGTGAACAGGGCATTACTTGTAAATGCGGCTGCAACATTCGGCAAGTGATCGGCTGATCCTTTTTGAAAAATATCAGTAGGTTTACTTACTTACCTCTGCATATACGTACAGGTGTGGCTAATTTAGATTCTAGATACTTTTGAAGCATTGGTTGGTTTAGTTCTGTTCTGGGATATGTTTAATCATGAATTGGTTCTTTTATTTTAGCTTTATGTTGTGACAGACTATTTTCCAGAAGCTGCGAAGTTCTTCTAGTACCTTCCGTTGCTAGTAGTGTTCACTAGCTCGAGAAAGAAGTGATTCCCAGCCATCAAATCATTTCTTTCTTGACCCTTTTAAATTCTGGTCTTTGCCTATAGTGTTTGTTAGTGTTTCAAAAAGCTCCATAGGCGGCGCTATGCTGCAGTTGGGAGCCGTGATTTTTTTTTTTTCAATTTATTTTTGAAATAAAATTAAAAGAAGTAATAATCGTATTAAAATCTGTATAATAGTTATGAATATATTATGATTTTTTTTATATTCTTTACATTTGACTATATAATTTAATATTTTTGTATAATATATCTTGTGAATTACGAATTACAATAAGGATAAATAAATTTATTAATACTTTTACGATCATGTTTAGTCCTGGATTAGTCCCTCTTCACCTCCATTTTTCTAGCATTAATAAGTATAAATGATATTTGTTGATATAGTAGTTGCGTTGATGCCTTTATTGATGGAGGGAAGGATTGATATGTTCAGCTCCATTTTTCTATGTGATGATAATTTTCACTTCCATCTAATTACAAGCTAGAAAATGTCTTATATTTTCAACATACAAACCTGTGAAATAATCCACTAGGGGACTGTTTGTTAATTTGGATTGATAGAATTTCTGCATTTAAGTGTCCAGAACTGCCATATATCTCGCTACCTTGAAATATCTTTAGACCATGTCGCTCGTTTTTTCGAATTACATAGACACAGTATATTTAATTTATTTTGTTTTAAAATCAAAAAACACCCTAACTTTAGATTTGTGGAGAAGACAAAGTGATGAAGGATGCGTACGATGAGTGTTTGGATACGAGAGATGACTCTCAAAACTGATCAGATTATTTTTCAATCGTTCAAAATACTGTCCAACATAGTTTTTAAACCCGGCCCGGTGATCGACCCGGGCAAGTCCTCGGGTCACCGGTTCAACCGTCGGGTTACTAGGTCAATTACTGAACTGGATAATTAATTTTAAAATTTTTAAAATTATATATAGAGTATTTTTGTTATATAAATATACATAAAAGTAACAAAATTAAATGTTTTGTGTATAAAATTTGTATATTAAGTGTTAATAATATGTATCTCATGATAAATATTTACCATATAAACATATATACATAGTTTTTTTTTTTAAAAAAAAAAATAAAGAAAATATATTAAAAATATATATGGACCGGGTCAATCAGGTTGACCCGACCGGGTTTTGACCGGGTTTGACCGGGTCCTTGGTTGCCCGATCCAAATACTCCACCCGAACCGGTTCCGGCTCCGGGTCGACCTGCCGGGCCGGTCCGGGTCACAAAACAGTGCTGTCCAATCACAAAAAGAAGGGTCTTTTTAAATAAGACACCAAAGCCCTAACCACCAAGTCTAAAAAGTCCAAACAAAACAAGCCCAACCAAAATGGATAGAAATAAACATAAATAATAGCGATAAATAAAATAATAATCAAACTAGAGGCCGGAGTCGATCATATTTGTCAAGGAACGCCAACGCACTCTCGTCGGCATCATTCTCCCCCGGTAGGGGAGGATTCCCCTCTAATCCGAACCACTCTCATCATCATAATTGTCACCGTGAAAAGGCACCAAGTGCTTGACTTTGAAGATGTCTGAGGTGCACACATGGAATGGTAAACGAAGACGGTAGGCGTTTGGATTAATCTTCTCAAGGATCTCCGCAGGACCAATCTTCCTGGCCGACAACCTATTGTACTCATGTGCCACAAAGCGGTCCTTTGTCAAGACGGCCCAAACGAAATCGCCCACATCAAACTCCACGGGCCGACGACGAGTGTCCGCCATTCGCTTGTAGGCGGCAGTAGTGGTCTCCAAATTTGCACGAACCCTCATCGTGCGTGCGCCTCAAATCAGACATCAAGTCCTCCGCTAGTCGATCTTCAAGACCGGAGGAACGCAAGGAGATCAAATCAGCCGGGCCACGTGGGACTATGCCGTAGACCACCTGGAACGGACTGTACCGAGCAGCACGATTCACGAGAAAACACGCCACAAACTATGCCAGAAGAACTGAGGAAACGCGTATCATGATATGACACAATGAACGGAAAAAGAGTTGTGCCACATGCACGATATCAGTCATTCGTTTGCAAGGAATGAAATGTGCCATCTTAGAGAACCGATCCACAACTAGGAAAATGGAATCATTACCTCGTTGAGTACGTGGAAGGCTGGGGACAAAATCCATGCTAATGGGGCACCAAGGCTGCGATGGAATCGGCAGCGGCCGATATAAACTGGCATTGGAGGCGACGCCCTTCGACACCTGACACACTCGGCATCGCTCCACTAAACGAGAAACATCCCGTCGCAAGGTAGGCCAAAAGAATCTGTGCTGGACAAGTTCAACGGATCGATCACGACCCACATGGCCCGCTCCATGAAGGTCACCAATCAACTTCAGCC